TGGAGTAAATTATAGCTTCAATCTGTACTATTAGTCCAAGCCTACATTTGTAAGAGATGATCTTGAATTACAGTCTGCACCTGAGATATACAAAGTCTTGAGGCATCTTTAGTATACAAATTCATTAAAAAGAAATGAATTCTCTTTTGCTCCATGGCTTGTTGCTGTGTTGATAACTAATTCCTGAGGTTCCATTATTGTTGGCGGTCACCTGATGAGTTGATTGAGATGGTTCATAAATACCATGATGATATTGCCTTCCCAAAATTGGTTAGTGCGTTGTGCTCAGCTACACTCTTTAGCCTTGACCCTCGATTTCTGGTTCAGGAAATGCGAGGACCTGGTCTTTCAGACCTTATGAGATGAGAGTGTTTATTTCTGATTTTCCAATCTTTTGACAGGTTGCAGATTTTGGCTCCCTTGAACTTTCACCAGTTGATGGAAGGACACTGACTGATTTCATGCATACCAGGGGTTTGCAAATGTATTCCTTAGGGCGCATGGTAATTTCTTCATTTTTAATTATTTAATCTTCTGTGTCCAGAATTCTTATATGCTCATTTATCTATCAATCTCAGTCATGGAGATAGAAGACAGGAGACGTAAATGGAATTTGAAGCTTATTTCTTCCCATTGTTTTCGTCACCATGTCAGGTTGAACTTGTTGCAATCACTCTGTATCCATGAAATGGTTGTTAGAGCATGCAAGCACATTCTTCAGGCAGTTGTAGCAGCAGTAGGTAATGTTGTTAACATGGCTGCATCAATTGCTTCATATTTGAATGTGTTGCTAGGGACACCACCTACAGGACACACAGATTCAAACATAACTAGCGATGATGAACTTAAATGGAAATGGATTGAAACTTTTCTTTCAAAGAGGTTTGGGTGGCAATGGAAGGATGAAATTCGCAATTATCTTAGAAAGTTTGCCATTCTTCGTGGGCTTTGCCAAAATGTAGGCTATTTCATCTCGAGAAGTTTTGGCTTCTCCAAGTGGCTGGGTTTATTTACTTAATCTGTGTATTCAAAACTACCACCTCATTATAGGTTGGGCTAGAGCTTGTGCCAAGGGACTATGATATGGATTCCCCCTTTCCTTTCAAGAAGTCAGATATAATTAGCATGATCCCTGCTTATAAGGTATGCTGCTACTGATTTGTTTTAAAAATTGCAGATGAACTATAGGAGGAGTTTTAGGTAGTTCTGACAGCATTTAATCTTCCATACAGCATGTTGCTTGCTCATCTGCGGACGGGCGTACACTGTTGGAATCATCCAAAACTTCTTTGGATAAGGGGAAATTGGAGGATGCTGTAAATTATGGGACTAAGGTAACAATTGGTTACCCCCTTCCCCCCTCAAATACCCACCTGAAATGGCCCCATTTTCCCACTTGCAGGCAAACAACAATTGAAGTACTTAGAAGTATGATTGACATTCAAATTCATTTTGAAGGCACTCTTGAGACTCGTTTCAGTCTGCGGTCCTTATCATCGGATGACAGCAGGAGCATACTGTCTGTTGGCTGTGGTACTATACCACACAGGGGACTTTAATCAGGTATGAGGATGTAATATTGGATATCCCATCACTACGCCGCCATATATTAAGATGAAGTATCTGTTATCTCATTACATCTAAACATCCAAAATATGGAGGTATTTACCTTGGCTGGAAAAGTTTCTTGGCAGGCGATGGTGGCAACTTTATTAAGTTTCTGCGAAAATGAAAGTTTAGGACATTTTGCCATTGCTGATGGCTTTGCATATTATGTCTTTGTTCTCTTGGATTACACCTGTGAGCAAAATTGTATTTCAACTGCCAGATTCCAAAATAAACTAGTTGGAATTTATTGTAAAAAATAACAAAATTTCCAATGGGTGTAAACCTCACGTCTAAAAGTAGCTGTATTAACTATTAAGCTTTGCCATAGGGCAATTCGTCCTGTGTGTGTAGATGAAAATGATAAAAAATAAGTGTATTTATACATGTTGCATATTTTATCTTAAAATCAAAGTATAATAAGTCAGTTTTATATGGGTCCCATTACATAATGTCTGGACTGATTTCTATTAGTAAGGCAAGCTTGTCACTAATGTAAGATAATGAAATGAAATAGCACCTAATAAATATCAATTTTGGCGATTTAAAATTTGAGCATCAAAATTTCAATTTTCAGACCTACATTCATACTGTGAAATATGACCTCAAAGTACTCACCATTAATAATAGGTTTTACCAATTACCATTTTGAGATGATTATTGATTTATGAGATCTATCCTGATGGTATCATTTGTTTTGTTTTTTCATTATTTGAGCAGGCTACCATCTATCGGCAGAAAGCTTTAGATATTAATGAGAGAGAGCTTGGACTTGATCACCCTGACACGATGAAAAGCTATAGAGATTTAGCTGTCTTCTACTATCGGCTCCAACACATGGAGCTGGCCTTAAAGTATGTATGCGCTCAGAGCTGTCTTTATCTGTTCAACTATTTTTCATTTTTTACACGTCATGATGGTTTTACTCTGATTTCCATAATTTGAAAATAATTACTGAATGTGGTATTTATGAAGTTTTAGGATGGAGTCAAAAGTTGATACTTTGGGAGATATGTGGTCAGGAAAATTTGAACCAAATGAAAATGTGAATATCAGTCCAAATTAGAAAGGGAAAAAAAAGAGTGATTAATTCATGCAGGTCTTGTTCCATGAGACCATGAAGAGTTTCCTAATTTTTTGTGAATTTAAGTGATATCTGGAGCAAATTATGATATATCTTTTAATTATAATATTTCATGGAGAAAGATTCCAGGACACTTGGTATTTTTGAACAATGTATTGTTCATTATAGTAAATGATATTTTTATTTTCTTTTAAAAAAAGTTTCAACTAGTGAAAGGAAGCTTA